TCTTTCAACACTACTTTGCTCAATTGTGTGAGTTTTCATTCTTGTGTTGTAAACTCAATCTCATTTGAGTGTTGTTCTTAAGACTTGTGTGACTCAAGTCTTGTTGTTGTAAGAAAGTGAGGCTTGTGTGATTCAAGTTCTCAAGTTGTACCGGTTTTTCATGCACCCGTTGAAGCTTGAAGATTAGTAGGACTTTCGAGAGAGTCTCTCGGAGGACTGGACTAGCCACGAGGTGGTGAACCAGTATAAATCCCGGTGTTCTTCTTTCCCTTACTCTCCTTACTTTTTCCTGCGATAATTTTTACGAAAAACGTACATTCTTGAAAACAACTCTATTCACCCCCCCTCTAGAGTTGCACTTTTGTCTAACAATGGTCACCTTCCAGATTCGTCTTCATCACCAAGGTTTAGCCTCTTAATCCTCACAAAGTTTTTCTCTCTTTTTGATCTCACCTCAATGCCATGGTGTCCAAGAATATTTATACAACTGAACTGGCGAGAACCCTAGCATGGTCCTCATAGGACTCATCAACCTTGAACACTTCTATGTCTCAGAGAACTCTTCAAACCGCAAGGTGCCACATGCTACTTCAACCAGACCTCTAAGCACATTAGGAGTAGGATTCGGTTGGCAACAGTAGCTGTGTGATGACTTGGCAGGACACTACAACCTAATAACTATAATTATCCTACTATTTGTTTTTGTCATAAAGGATAATGCCAACACCCAACATATTAATAGCATAGTGACATAGCAAGAAACCCAACATTTTGAAGAAAGATAAAGATTAAAGACCACATATTTTTTACTTTATTAAGTAGGGAAGTAGGGCAATTGTTTGGGACATACTAAAAAAGAAAGTAAGACATTAATTTAAGACAAAGGGAGTGTATGAAAAAATTGAAAAAGTTGAGGTGAAAGTTGACATCAAATTAGGGTACCTAAAATTACTCTCTCCGCCCGTTACGAGACTTGACCAACTTTATTTTGAATTCAATTTAGATCATAGGTGTAATATTGAAAAAAATAAAATTATTATATTTAAAAAGTAGATTAAAAATTCTACAAAACAAATATGACATGTCTAGATTATATTATGAAATGAGTGGTAAAAATGATCAAATAAGATGTAGGCTATAAACAATACCTGTAAAAGGGCCAAGATAACCCTTTTACACCACCATTGATCTCATGCTTTGCACAGATGCACAAACAATAAATATCAGTATCATTTCGAAAGTTAATATTTGTGTTTGTTTGTACAAAGAGACTGTCAAAATTTTGAGTTACTCTACGAGCTCATTCGATGTGAAGGGAGTAATTCATTATGGACAAATGTGAGTATGTTATTCTCTGGAGTTATGCCAGGGGCACACCATTAGCCGGATGTAGGGTTCTTCCCGCCAGTTCCCCGCAAATTATATCCTATAGCCGGATGTAGGGTTCTTCCCGTACAGCCAGCATAAATTAGGAGCTCTAGCCGATTTGGGGTCCGCTGTCAAATAGAGGTCGCATGATTTTGGAGCCGTTGTCATGCAAACCATCGCTTGCCCTCCCTATGTCAATCCGGTGAGATCGGAAGAAGCGGCTACTATGTTGCTTCAATCGACAATGAATAAGGCAAATTAATCAGGAAGCTCGACGGCGGTGCCCCGGCCAAAGCTGTAAGTTTAGGATGAATTGAATTGTGGTAGTACACATTCTGTTATTTCTTGGTACTCATTTATATTGTGTGTACTATTATATTCATTTTCTGTGATTTATTAGGTAAAATGAACACTATGTTATTTGAGAAAGAACACTACTTTGTTTCAAAATAAAAACTACGTTATTCATAAATGAATATTATAATTATATTGATCAAATGTGTGAAAATGAATATTACCTTATTTCAGAATGAGTATTACATTATTTCAAAATAAGTACTACATTATTTCAGAATGAGTACTATGTATCTCAAAAGGAACACTTATGCTTTGCGTTTATGAATACTATTTATAATTCAAAATTAGTACTATTCGGCAGAACCTTACATGGCACCTTAGTCCTCACCATTTAGAGTCTGTTCTTTAGGGTTTGAATTCTTAATTTTCAGTTTCTTCTCGTTCCTTCCAGTTTTTTCTAGTTTCTTTCAGTTCCTTCCAGTTCTTTCTAGTTTCTTTCAGTTCCTTCCAGTTTCTACCAACTATTCTGATTTTCTTCAAACTCTTTCCACTCCCCCAACCAATTACTCTAAAAACGATATATTTTTAATATGATTATTATTATTAGTATTATTATTATTATTACAACTGTTATACTCATAACTATAGTTTATAAATTATTCTTTTCATCTCACTATTTTTATGATTCGCACTCATTATTTTTTCTTCTTGTAATATATAAAATATAATTAAAAATATATTATTTATAATAAATACTTCATAAATAAATTGAGGTGCAACGCAACCACAAAAACTTTTTGAAATTTAATTTTTTTAATATTTATGCTAACTTTATATTATAATTATTTTTTTGCAAAAATAGTTTTTTGTATTTGAAAAATAATTTTTTTTGTATCTTAAAGGCATTAATTAAGATAACGTGATGATGATGCTGATAATAATAATATAATAATAAATATAATAGGAATAATAATAAGAATAATAATAATAATAATTTATAGCAACAAGAATTTAAAATAAATTTTTTTAAAGTTTTTTTAGGTTTTCATTTTTTTGAAGTTCTTTCCAGTTTCTTCCGGTTCTTCCACTTCTTTCCAGTTTTTTTCAGTTTCTTCTAACGTTCAATTCTTTTTTTCCAGTATAAAGAACATTAATATATGGTAAATCTTTATTCATTTCTCAAAATATATGGTACCCGTAGGCCGTAGGATTTTTCTATTCTCTACCCAGCTGTCTGTGGATCATTCAGTAACACGTCTTTCTTTTAATAATTTCCATTTCTCCTCTATGGAGCAAGCACATCAGGACAGACTACAGAGCATTAACATAGTCTCTATGACGCTATGAATCCGTCCATGTGAGCTCGAGCTACCGAGTCATATAGCAAAAACACAATCAATCTATCTCAAATCCAACTCTCTTCGCAGTCATATTCAGATCGGTTAGCTCATAGAAATGCTCTTTCTCGCAACAATGGATTTGAGTCGCAATTTCTGGCTTTCCATTTTTATGCTCTTCTCTCTTTCAATATTTGCTGCCCATTCTGCTTCCAGTTCTATCTCAGGTATGCACTTTTATAATGTTTTACTCTACCATCCCACAATTTTTTCTATTTATTATAGAAATTGTATTTTAAAGTTCCATCATGAGTAATTTTTTTCGGAAATTGTGCGTGGGATTTAGATAAATTGAACTTTGATATGCTACAGTATGATTTGTCATCTATTCGCTTTCCTTGATCTGGAACAGTTTTCCTTTTCTTGTGGTTGAAATTGAATGCTTACTTTTTCCAAATTTGGATTATTTTCTTGTTAATGAGGACTGAGGAGTAGTTTTTAGTTTTTACCCCTGCGCATGGGCTGGTATATTCTTACCTAAAATTTGTCATCTTATGTGGAGTAAAAAAAAAGTGAAATTAAAGGTGCGTTTGGTTGGGGGAAAATGTTTTCCCAAATATTATTTTCTATGAGAAAATGATTTTGAAAAAAAAAATTCTCATAACATTTTCTATTCTGTGGCAGGAAGAAGTTTTTACATTAGAACCACTTTCATAAATAAAAACTTAGGAAAAAAAGTGGAATGAAATAGTAAGTACAAATATATGTGTATATAAAAAGGAAAAAAATGGAAAAAAACTATTTATGAAATTATTCTAATTGTAAATGTTTCTTGTATATTTCTTTAAATTCCTTCAATTTTATTAATAATAAAATCCAATTAATTAAAACAATCACTATTATGTACCCATATGGCTTTTCATTATCTTTACTTTATAAATGCATATAACCTCCATTTCTATAATAAATATATATGCAAAAAAAGGAATATCATGACACATGTACTAATAAGATGGTGACACATTAATAGTTACACATGGCATGCCACATATTAGCACCACAATTAAAAAAACTATACACACACACACATGTATATATATAGTGGCCGGTTCACGTGAGAATGCACCTTGGTGAAAGAAATAAGAATAAAATCTAGTCTTTGGATCTGATGCATCGTGAGGCTCAGATTGCATCCTGCACTCAGATTTTGAGATATTGCATTTTCAAAAGATTTTGGTGCATTTCAACATGACGCATTTTCAAACCATTTTGGTGCACCTAATTTTGATGCAATCCCGGCCCTTAGATCTCACAATCTAAAACACTAGATTCATTCTTATTTCTTTCATAAGATCGCATTATCACCAGAACCAATATATATATATATATATATATATATATATATATATATATATATATACACATGCATGTGTGTGTGTATGATTTGATGTCATTTATGATGCAGATGGTGTTTATGCATCTCAATCTTTCACAGGGAGGAACCTCCTTCAGAATAAGAAAGGTACTGTGTTCTGCTTTCAATTTATGATCCCCACGCTGCGAAGTTCATTTTCCTATCTGATTATCTGTTTTTGGAATTAAATCAGAATATGCATTATATGATAGAACAACACGAATATACCGTTCCAACCCAGGAAGTTTACATGTAGATAAATTTGGTTAGATTATTATTAACTTAGGGAACCTCTCTTTTCATCGTACCGTTAACTTTCCATCCAGTGGTAGGTTTTGATTTTGTGCACCACTACTGAGAAACCACTCATTGGAAAAAGCGATCTGTTTAAGCCGTAAAAATATCACACCGGTAATGAATTGGATTTGATGCCATGTTGAATATTGTGATATTAGAAGGCTAGCGGGTGACATTAGTAGTGAAATAAGATGAACCAATATTAAAAGATGATAGTAATAAGAATTGTATTACTTATGATTGTAATTAATACTCCGTGCAAGATATGAGATGAGCCTATCACTATATAGGTGTAAAAGATTATATGAAGGTGCTGGGAAGTGCTCTAAAGTTAGCTACAAAGGCACTAGGAAGGTGTTATGATAGTGGTGTGTGTGTGAGACTAAATAAGTTGTAAGGTCGGCTCTGTCTTAAAATTTCGACATGACTATCCAATGCACACCCACCACTTCTCAAGCATTGATGAACGAGGTCTTTGATTTTTATTTTTGTGACTTTGCCCTTGATGTTTTGAAGACATCTTAGTTTACAACCGGACTAGGGTATATCATCCTCAACACATCTTGATAATGTTTAATGCTCCGTCCTTAAACTAAAGTCACAGTTCCCATCCGGATAGAGAAGCCATCTTAGCCCCAACAATATTCCACTTCGTGCAGGCTCATTACTTCCCCCACTTAATTGTCCTTTCAAATCCAACTTATAAGCAATCATGTGGATTGCAAAAACAAAAACAACCTAGTAAAATCCCACGAAAGTAGGGTCTGAGGAGGGTGTGCATGTGCCTACCTTACCTCTACCCAAAAGTGGTGGGGCTGTTTCCGAATCTGCATCGCGACAAGAAAATAATAAATTAATTGAAAAGTTTATTGGCCCATACAAGGTGATCCATCGCATATCAATTAGGGTTGCATGAGAGGCCAGAGGTGTGATGCTTTTCATGTATTTGAAAGTCTACGAGGGTACCCGCCCACAACAGTTCCAAAATTACCAGTTAGAGTATAAACCACTGTGCCGCTGTGCTACAACTTGAAAAAACACTCGACTCACGATCAACGCGTGAAGGAGGTGAAGTTTAATTTCTTGCGAGACCAAACGTGTGGAGGATGCCGCTTGAAAATATATCAAGCCATTCCACATTTCCACATCATATATAAACACAAACGATCATATATGATCAGAGTAACTCTCTTATTAGATTACCTTTTTGGATGGAACCCCAGTCAATGTTATGGTAGAAGTTTATTAGAGCATACTAAACTCACACGAGCAATTGAATTGTGGTTAGACTCAACAACAAGCACGCAGACTTTAACATTGGTCTCCACCAATGAGCTGCCATTTTGTGGCGCATGTTAATCAATCTCACATAGGCTAAATATACAACAACAATAACAACCCAGTTAAATCCCACAAGAGTAGGGTCTGGGGAGGGTAATATGAGGTTTTGGACTAATACATTTATCAAGCTGACCTTTTACCTTGGATCTCCAAGTTTATCGCAATCACTCTATGATTTCACAAGCACATTTTTAGGTCAAGCTCGAGAACAAGCTTTATGCCGCGAGGAGTGGGTGGGGGTTTGTGATAATATGTTCAGAGGGGTGGGTGGGGGTATGTGATAATATGTTCAGAGAACGTGCCTGATTCATGAACGTGCCCGTGCCAGCATATGGCTATTAATTTCTTGTAATAACATTATAAAAAAATGTAATTGAGCTTGGCTCCATCGTATGGTCTATCAACTATTGCATCCCTTATTATTATTGTTGCTGGGGCCTAATTGCAACAGCAAGAATCCATCTGGCAAAACTTGTGGAAAGTTAGAAATATTCATTCAAGACTATTTTTGCACGATCAACAACTGATAAGGCATTCTAGGTTGGAAGGGGATTACAATTCCAGATTTTCCTAGGGAAATTCTCTCCTTAATTGAAAAATTCAACGATTGCCTAATCTGACCTTCCCCCAGTTATATGATAAAATTGTATTTCTTTATTTGAATATCTTTAGTCTGATACCAGGTCTAATTATTCTCCATTTCAAGCAAACATGGGATTCTTATTCCAATATATCAAATAGTAATTACCTACTCTTTGTAAAATTGCAAGTAGTATTTGTACATTGTTTGATTGCACAATCTTCTTTCGTTCTTTGATGATCAATTACAAACTTACAATACATAAAACATGCTTTGTTCTAAATAATTGCAAAAGCTGTTCACTTGATGTTGAACTGATTCATACTAGGGCTGGGTCGGGAAAACCGAAAACCGAACCGAAATTGATCGAAATGAGCTAGAAAAAAAACCGAAACCGAATGTAAAAAAACCGAACCGAACCGTTATTGTTTGGTTCCGTTTTGGTTTTTACTTTGAAAAACCGAACCGAATAAACCGAACTTATTTATATGCTTCATTTTATTTATATGAGTATATGTGATATGTATAAAAATCATATAAACAAAAATGCAAATAAATTACTAGTCAATTAAAGTTTTTTCTTAACTATTAATTAAACATTTTAATCATATTATAAACTTTAAAAAATCTAAGAATATAAACACCAATAACTAATCCTAATATAGAATTATATAATATTAAAAATTAAAATGAGTAGTTAACATATTTAAATAAAAAAAACTTTGATGTTATAATGAAAATGAAAGTATTATATAAAAAAATCCAAATTCTCTGCAATTGATTTTACATACGATATCTTTAAGATTATTTAGAATCTTCTAGATGTTTGTTAGGCACTTGACACATATTTTGTATATAAAATTGAACCAATGAGAACACTAACCTTCCGCTCGGCTTTTTTTGTGTGTAAAAATCAAGCAAAAAAACCAAACCCAAACTTACGTATTGTTATTGCTTCGTCGAGTTAGTATTTATACAATTTTTAATGCTTATAAATATTTACTTTTACAAACCGAAAAAACCGAAAAAAA